ACCCATTGGGACTGCTTAAATGCCTTTTTAATAGTACCGGATTTTGGAACTGAACTTACAATAAAACTGCCACCTCTCTTTTCTCCACTGCTTTCAAAGGAGTCTGGACATAGAACTTTGATGTGGCAGATTGTAGAAGCCATACTTCTAAATGTTACAATAATGAAATCGTCGCTTTTCTTTTGAAGTGGTTTTGCAGACCGCCTATATAAGCTTAACTTGCCGTTTAGCCTTTAGGAGATACAGCCAAGGAGTTCTGCTTACAGAAGTGTTACAGCAATGTTCTTCTAAATAAAAAGAAAACAAAAGCAGTATGATACCAACTTGAAAAAGTAACTGTTGTGCAAAACAATGTGGTAACCGTTTAGGCTTCTGTGATGGAAATGAAAGTAGAAGTAGAGTATTGAAACAAACATTTTAAAGAGTATGTACAAGCATGGGTTGTCTCTTCTGATGTAGAGTAGCATAGGATGCTGTCTTTCAGCTTGTTTAAATCTGAAGACCTGTGACTCACTATGTAGTTAAGCTCAGGAATGCAAAGCTTGCTTTTCTGTGTACTTTTTGTGATCTTTATTAGGTGTAGTCCATGTACCACTTTCTGATAACTTCTGTCATTGCATTAAACAGTAATTTTTTGGGGGGTAGCCCTTCTCAGGATGTACTCCATGGCAATCATCAGATGCTAAAAGCTTAATAGGGGTGCCAGGTAATTATGCTCTGTGTTTCTTAGGTAGGATGTGATATCATGTAGCCGAAAAACTCTGAACCTTGATGCACTGCATAGAAATTACATATCTGAAATGTCCAGGGAGCAGAGAAGCAAATTGTTTTGGAGCATAAAATAAGCCTAAGGGAAAACATAATGTAATACAAATATAAATAATATTAATACTGTCTTGAAAAGTGAGTGCATATGGAATATCTTGTCCTTACAGGTTTTTACGTAGGAGAATAGTCCCAGTAGCATATTTGACAGTGTCTTTAAAAGTTTTTTTTTCTATCACAGTCCTCTCAATGAACTGAAATTTTTGGACCTGTGCTCCCTATGTGCCTAGTTCTACTAAAATTTCAGTAACTTCTAGAACTGTATGAATTGCCTGTTTAGGTGATTGTAACAATTATGTAACTAAATGTTATGTAACCGTTTATGCTTAGATGTATCCAGACTGAGGTGCAGAGAAGAGGTAGAGTAAAAAATTTCTAGTTAGAAATTTTTAGTTTTAAGTTCTCACAAAAATGGCCTGTTTTTCAGAGGAGCTGAGTGCCGTATGCTCCCACTGATAGCCCTTTGATTTGTCAGAGTCTGCAGTGGTAGTGCCTGGTCTGAGGTCTGGCACGGCCCTTTACACGTGATCTGCTTTTTCTTGTCACTGAGCTAAACCTCCTTATGGTCAGCATTTGCACAGATTGCTCGGATGAACTTGCTCAGCCTCCGAAGGTGAGTTGCTGGTGAGCTGCTGATGAATGCTCAGCAGAGGCCTTGGCAGCCTTCCTCCCTGCATCTGGGGGATGAGTTGAGCTTACAAATCAGTAGGCCTGGAGCTGTGCATTTGCCAGAACAGGAAGCCTGCTCTGAGGGACTGAAGGAAACCTGGTTGAGGAGGGAGATGTTAAGGTTATTGGGTGACAGCATGTACTACCAGGCTGTCGTGTGATAAGCTTATGAAGCTGTTCCCGCAAGGCAAGAGGTACGTATTTGCAGGGACTATTAACTGGTTTTTGTCAAGGTAGGATGAAGCTACCCTTACCTCTTCTGGAACACTGAATTCAGGGGAGTTGCATATTTTAGATAAACATGTTCTGAGACTATAAATAATAAGCCATTAGAAATTTGCATGGTCCCTTTCTATATGCATAGTATTTTTGGAAGTGTTAGCTTCTGTGCAGGACTGTATCACTTTGTGGTTTTTTTTTTAAGCCCTTCTGAAAAGTGGGAGAATACAGTGGAAAATATTTAAAATTAGTATTATGTAGTTTTCCAGTTTGTAGTCTAATGCATAGAAACTGTATAAGTTGTGCTAGACAAACTGTTCAATATGAAAATTTGTTTACCAATCTTGTCTTTTAATTACAAAGGTGGCTCAACTGTATCTCACATTGTAGTTGAGTGAGAAAGATTGTTTCCCACTCCTGTGAATGGGAGGGAAAACAGAATGAAAAGTAGCTAGAGTTAGGAAGAGACATCAGGGCAAAAGACCAGGACACTGCAATAGAGGGGTACAGGAAACGGGTGGGAGCTGAGGAAGCATGTTTTTCCTAAAATGTAAAATTAACGTAAAATCTAGCAACTAAGCATTGAAACCTATTGAGAAAATTTGTCCCTCAAAATAATAGACTGTTATAGACAACAACAGCTTTCACTACCATTGCTTACATTGTTTTCTTCTGTTGATTTATGTGGAGAATGACTGTGGTTCTGTATTTTTCTCTCTTCCTTAAGGTGTTTTTCTTTCCTGTTTCCTCTTTGTTGTACGTTTGCTGTGGCTTAGGCACTTGCAATGAAGCTCTGAACCATTAGGAAATGTCATGTTCTCTCTATATCCTTAAGTCAGCTCTGTTCAGAAGTATTTGTGTCTGTGTTGGAACCCCATTAGTTCACTTTAAAGATGTGATCAAGGTCCCACAAAACATGGTAGCCCTAAAATTATGCCATGAAGTAATCCATTATCTTTGTTTAGCCATTAATTAAGCAGTTAGTTTTGAGATTTAGCTTGTTAAAATATCTGACTATGAGAGATTCTGCAAATATGAGTAAAGCTACTTTGCTTTGGTTCTGCAGTTAAAAAAATAAATTGCTTAGCATTACAGTTGTGAGCGAAAATTCAGATTATTAACCAATGATACAAATAATACCTCCTTCAGTCTGTAAAGTCTGAAACATTACTACGTATATGCCAATAGGTAGCCCATGTAATTACGCTTTACAGCTGCCATTTGTAGTGTAGACATACTTCTAGATTCCTAAATGCAGAGCAGAAACCTGCAAGTAATGCTGGCTGAGCTGATATGAATGTTTTTATATAATAGAAAGAGCTAGCTTCAGTCCTGAAAGAATCATCACAGTAGTCCTGCTAATAGTGGAGGGAACAGTGCTAATTTTCCTTCATATTATACTGGCACATCTGTACTGTTCGTAGTCCCAGAACGACTTTATGCATAGCTAGTGTGAGTAATTCTGTTCCGTGCTGTTACATCAATATGCCTTAGGAACCATAATGAACCAGACCCAACTCAGGGGTGTGCACAGCTAATGTTTGCTAAGGCTTGAATGCTGCCAATTCAGAACTGGAAGTTTAAGAATCAGCTTTTTGAACCTGTAGTCATGTTATTTACGTGGCACAATATATTATGTTTGTGTGAATACTCAGTATTAATATTATGAACAGGATCAAAGGTTATGAAAACCTTTAGCCTATTGAGTATTAGTGAAACCTAGAGAAGTTTTGAGAAGAAGTTAAGAAATTTTTTTAAGTTATAATCAGTTGTCACTCATTTAAAAGATGTTTTCGAAAATTCATGTGCTTATGCATCCACGACTGATTTTTTTCTTGTTTAATTTGTAGAATTTTAAGGTTTTTTTATAAGCAGAACTAATTAAGCCTTCTTTCTCACGAATTTATGCTTCACTAATTTCCTGCTTTACTAACAATTTATACTTTCACTCCCTTCCTTCCCCAGATCCCCGACAGTTCTGTCAGCTTCTTTCTATGTCCACCACATCAATGTGTGGCATATGCTGTGTGGCCAATTCTGACCTAAGCATGGGCATATTAAATTGTGCCTCTTTCTTCTTCCAAATTTAATGAAACTTCTTGTAAATCTATGTATTTAGCATATTTGCCTTTTGTCAAATATGGTTAAAATTGGTGATGAGATAGATTTAGTCCAATCATACCTCTTTTGCTCTGGAAAGTTATTAAAACAGCTTAGTTTTCAGACTGGGAAGGAAACCCTCTCTACCATGATGTGAACAGTGTAGTGTGTTGCTATACTGTATTTTTGAGTTTGGGATGCTGCATCAAAGGCTTTATATGTATTGTTCTTCCATCTCATGGCTTTCTACTTCCTCCTCCCTATCCACAACCAGCAAAGTAGTTGGAGCCTATTAAATCTTAAGCATGAGTTAAGTCTTACATCATGTCTTTCTGTCTGTGTCAAGGAGAGCAGCAATCAGTGTTGAGGAACTTGATTAAAAAATTCCTAATAAAATAAATAGCAGACTTTCTAGACTTTCATTGGTAAGATGTTGAAGAGAGATAGGATGCAAAGATTAAAAACTGAAGAGAAAGCTTAAAAACCCACCCAACCCCCCCCCCCAAACCTTAGAAAAATAAAATGCATATTTATGCAGAAGAAAATGGAGCACACTATGGTTAAAGACAATATACTCCTATGGTATTCCTTCACATTGCCAGAAGTATGCCTTTCTATGTGTCTGTGCTTTGGCTGTTATCACAGGGAGATACATAAATGGAAATGTGCAACAAAAACATTTACTGAGGATGCTGGAGATGAAATCTAAGATTTTGGCTCTGGCTGCTGCCAAGGTGGTTGATTTTAGGATGTGACAATGACAGGAATAGGTCACGGGAGAGGGGAACGGAAGCTTCACCACCAAGTTCTGTGTGTCTGGACTCCTCTGGGTGGAGTTAAACCAAACCCTTTAAACATGAGCACGGGATGCGAGGCTGGGAGGTCATTTCCTTGTACCTGCATGAGTCTTGGCTTCCTTGTCCCAGCAGCTGCTGCCACCAGATTCTCTACAGCCTCTTGTCTGTATGCAGGAACTTTTTGAGTTAAGACTCAGTTAAGAGTTACAGTGAAGGCAGGGAGTCAAAGACTTTGCTGAGTAAGGGGAAGTTTTCTTAACAAAGTGTGGCTACAGTTCCAAGTCTGTTCATCCTGGATGCTTGCAGCTGAGCTAGTGCAGCGAGTGGTGTTAACTCCTGTGAAGTCAAGGGGGATGCTGGTGAAATGTTTTGGTGGGAGTAGGGAGCACTATGCAGAGAGCTGCAAGTGAGAAATTACTGTGTGCCTGTGACTTCTCTAAAAAACAAAATGCCTTTTTTTAATCTCTTCTTGTAGCCATTATTTAGTGGAGGTCCTGGGAAGGTTCTTGCTCCCAGTACACTAATGCTCTTATAAATCAAGTGAGGCAAATGTGATCAGAAGACTTCCGTCTAGAAATATCTTATTGCTATGTTCTAAATTGTATTGTTTTGACATTTAAAAGAGAATATATTTTTACTTTCGCAGATTAAGCTGCCACCAATGATGGAAATCATAACGGCTGAACAGCTGATGGAATACTTAGGTTAGTAATTACAATAAATGGTTTTCAATTATATGTTATACTTACTAGTGAGTAGTAGTATAGGAGGACTGTTTTATTTATTTACTGTTTTATTCAGCTTTACTTGAATGCATGCTTCAGGAAAACTACTTATGGTATTCAGTTACTCATGCTTTTCCTTAACTGCTTTTAGAAGTTTTCTGAACTGCTTTCTTAAGTGGTTAGTCTAGCGATGCAGTTGGTATGGCTTAGTACACCAACACACTGGTAGATTTAGACTTATTCATGTCTCTTACAATGTTGTTTTGTTGTAGTTGACAGAATGTAGTAAGTCAACTGTGCCTTTAATTGTCTGCAGTAACTCTAATCCTTGGTAGTACGACCCAGTAAATAACAGGAAAAATTAATTTAGTTGTCCAGTGACTGGGGTCTCAGTTGCAGGCACTGCTCCATTATGAGATTCAGTCTTCAGCAAAACGGCAGCTGTTTCCGTCTGAGAAGTCTGTAACTTCAATAGCTCAGAATGATCCAGGTGTTAAAAGTGCAGTTGCAATAGTACTTAGGCAATAGGTATCACAGTTCTTTCCCTTTGTACCCTAACAAATATAAAATACTTGAGCTTAATAGACTAGGTTTGATTTTTTTCTTACGCAGGAGAAAAAAACCTTACTATATTTTCTTTCTTTTTGCTTGTAAAAGATGTAGCTTGTTCTTTTCAAAAGCATATCACTGAATCTTTCAGTGGAAGAAAAAAGTTAATTACATAATTTCCAAAAAATAAGTCTTAAGAAATCTTCCTGCCTATGTCTAAACATTTCTTCTAATTGTATTGATAGAATAATACTGTCTGAAGTCACTGCATAATCACAGTTGGCTAAATGTGTATATTCTTTCTTGAAGGCATATATTAGCTTCTGGAATTATCTAATTAAATTGAGTAACAAAATAACCTTCTCAAATTATTTGGGTTCTTACTCAGTCAACAGGATTAGCAGTTGCCAAATGGTTCTTCTACAGCTTAAAAAAAAAAAAAAAAGAGCCCTTCAACCACTTTGAACAATCTTAACTGAAAAGATTATAAATTAGGAAACCTGTAGCAATATTTTTCTTTGAGTAGAAACATATTTTTTTAGGAATGAAACAAGGGAATAAATACGAAAAGCATTGGAATAAAATCTGAAAAATTTGGGAGAGGCAGTTTATGGATACTAGTCACTAAAAATGTTACAAATATCGAACCCCAGCGTGCTGATTAACTGATTGATTACCTTTGTGTTGTAGACACAGATGGAATACAAGCCTCTCAGAATTATTGGTGCATGGAAACATATGCCAAAATATTCATAGTATCAGTGAGGATAGGTGGTTGCATTTTTAAATTGTGTTATGCAATTACATTTCTTCTTGTGAATAGTTTGACCTTATTATATTTTTAAGTTGAGGCACAGAGGGAGGTACGTTTCTGAATAATTAAGAGATTGATACGATACCCCAAGAGATTATGAAATGCTTTAGTAACAACATTGGCCATTTGAATTTTATTTCTTAATATGATCTTACTATGTTTTTTATACTCCTATTTTACTTCATAATTATAATTCAGGTTATAAGACAATGCGATCTCATTAATTTGATAAAAAAACTTCAGTGGTGGTGTTTATGATCAGTCAGCAGTGTTCATAGAAATGTTGAGACTTTGTGTGGAATAAACTTATTTTTATTTTTGCTTTTTTTAGGAGACTATATTCTTGATGCAAAACCTAAAGAGATATCTGAAATTCAACGTCTAAATTATGAGCAGGTAAGGAGCTGCTCCTAAAATACAGTTGCTTATGTCTGAAGGAACTAAAGCCTTTTTTTTCTCACCTAAGGTTTATCATCTTGTTAAAAACCAGAAGCATACAAACCATTGTTTGTAGTTATTTTTTCCTCTTTTCCTAGGCTTGATGTGGAGTATTATTTATAAATACTGCCTGTTAGCAAAGAAAAACTCAGGATCTATTAACATAAGAAATTATTTTTTTTTCTTTCCCCTGCAATGAGTGTAACGAAAGATTTTTTTTTTTTAATTGAGGAATTATAACAGAGAAGTACAAGTGGAAGTATGTAACAGGGTGGTTGCTCTTTGAAGTCTTCTATTATGCATCCTTCAGTGTGCTCTGTTCTATGATCCTGGCTAGACTTTCTCTGAGGATGTAAACTGAGCAAGAAAGATCTCTATTCTTAAGTCATGATGGACAAAAAGAGGTTCATTCCATATTATGAAAGGCAATATTATTTGCACTGACTACTATTTTTATGTCATCACAGAAGTCTTTCTATGTTAAAAATAATGCTGTTAGTTTAAAAAAAATTGATGTAGTATTTATTATCTTGGAGCAAATTTTTCAAGCTCTGTGTGGTCACAGCTGGCTTTTGATTACTCATGGAAAAGTGATTTGAATTTATTATAAGTATTAGGTTTCAAGCTAGTTCTGTTTATTATTAGGTCATCTTTTCTTGCTCTCATTCAGTGTTGAAAAACAAATTGAGTATCTTGGGAGAGTTGAAATTAGAATGAAGATTGAATGTGGATTCTTTTAATAATAACCCAAAATATGACTTGTATCAAATTATATGAATTCTTTTTGTAATAACAAAATGAGCTGTATTTTTTCCACACAATTCTGTGCTGTAGAAGATTATAGCTATAATCAACTTACAGGAGGGTGATGAAAACTATATACCTGATTAAAGTACAACCCTTATGGCTTTCTTGTGCTCAAATATATGGGTTTACTATGTAAATGTCACAAAACTTTTCCTTAAATATTTAACTGTACAATTCTAAAGAAACCTTCTGTTCTCGGAATGTTCTAAATGTACTCGTAGATGCATGAGGGATATCACGAGAGGGCAGAAAGAAACTAATTAGGCAATTGAGTCTTACAAAATACATTTCAGAAGCATTGGAACTAAGTCTTGGTGTTAATCGTAATTTTCTGTTTATCTTGTCACACAATATTTTTCACCTAACCCAATATATTCTCTTCTTATAGAAGAAATTCAAGTAAATTTTTTGGACAGGTGAATTTGTAATGCTTTATTTTAGTATAATTTCAACATCATGACAAGATTCTAATTTCAGCTGTGACTTTCTTTTTTACTGTACTTGAGGGATTTAAATAAGTATTTGAATGAAGGTTGGATTAATTAAAAAAAAAAAAAGCACAAGTTCTAATGCACAAACTTAAGAATAGGTTGCCCAGGGAGGCTGTGGAGTCTTCATCCTTGGAGACGTTCAAAAGCTATCTGGACATGGTCCTGGGCAACTGGCTTTAGGTGGCCCTGCTTCAGCGGGGAGGGTGGACCAGATGACTTCCAGAGGTCCTTTCCAAGCTCATCTGCTCTGTATATTTATATCCTCTTTTATTTGCATTCATTTTTTTAGAAGCTTGTTGCATTGAAGGTGTGGAAATAGGTAAAATAGAAATGATACTGTTCAAATTGTAGTGAGAAACTTCTGCAGTTTTCTGGCCAATTTGATGTATTCCTGCTTTGTTTACAAAGTAAACATTACAAAATAAATGCAACTAATGTATGTAGATGTATGATCTGAATCTGTGGATGGCTAGTGCTGAATTGCTATAGACTTTCTTCCTATTCATTTAGAGTAAGAGTATAGCGTTATTTCTTCCAAAACACCTCTGATAGGTTTTTATACTTGATATCTGGTCCCTACTAATGAAATCCACTTCTTAAGTAAGGTGGTTTGGTTTGCTATTATAATGATAAAAACTTAAAAAAATGTCTGAGCCAGATCTTGAGAATTACAAATCTCTCTAAATTCCAAATCTCGTGACATAGCAAAATTGTCAAAAGGATGAAGCAACATGTAACAAAGTAGTGGGAGCTCTTGCCTTCCTGGTAGTAGAAACTTCACACAACAGTGGAGTTAAAGGGCTACAAACAGTAAAACTCTTCATTCATAGCAACCACTCTGAAATGCAGATACTGGATAATGATCATGACAGTGTTTTATAGCTATGCTTTATCAAGTAGTTTATAAGCTTTTTCTGTGTAAGCTTCAACTCTTAGAGCTTTCCAGGTTTAAATCTGGTTAGTAGCAAGGAAGTATGTCTGTTTATAAACTTACTTTAGGAGTTTCCAGAAATTGCATCTGAATTGAAATTACTCAAAGTAGGAACAAGCTTATTGTTCTACTGTCATTTTATTAAGAAAAAAAATACATTTAAACTTGCATACTAGTAAGAGGAGTAGCTTAATTCCATTGGCTAAAATGCCGATGTTGGTGAACCTGAAATTTTTGCTATATGCCTTAATGAAACCATGCTGTTGCAGGTGTAAAGTGTTGTGCAAAGATCTGTAGGTGAGACTATTTTACATATATATGTCTGCTTACACAATTTTTACATACAAGTTTTGTTTTAGAATTCTGTTGCATGCTAAGAGATGTCTAAAACTTCTTCCAAGATCTAGGAAACATTCATCTTTCCAACAGATGCAAAACTGTGCTTGAATTGGATCATGAACTATTGAATGATGTAGCTACTTCACTTAGCATGTTTACTTAGTGAGTGTCGTATGTTTTAATTGGTACATTCTTTACGATAGCAAGTTACAAGATGCAAAGACTGATTTCTTAAACTGACTTAAAAATAGTAAGGTCTGCCTTACGTTCTAATGTACAGGCTTGTGTTCACATTCTGCTCTGTCTATTAATGTGTGCACTAATGTGCTACAGAAGTGAATGTTCAATTTAATGTATTGGTTATGTTATTGTTTAATGGATCCAGTTATTTGTAATTTCCTGTATTTTAGCAAGTTGCCTTTAATTTGATAAAATAACTCATCACTATGTACCCCACTTATGCCTTGTTAGCCTACCTAGCTCTTTAATAGTTTTCTCATTATTCATCCTTTATAGTCAGTCATCCTTATTCTCAGTTTTTTGTCTTCCCTTATTGATTCCATTAATTGCGGTTCTTGCCATTAACTGTCTTACCATTAAAAGAAGACAACACAGAGGCAACTGTCTCTAACAATCAGTGGTTTTAGTCTGTGAATCTTTTCTGTCTTCATCTCCTTTCTAACCTGTATTTCTGGTTTTTGTCATGCTTTTTTCCCCATTGTTGCAACCCTAAATTCCTCTTAAGCAACAGAATATTGCGAAACTAAGCAAAAAAACCCCACAAAACCAAAAAACACCACACCAACAACTAAACAACTAAAAGCAGCTAAAAACAACTAAACAAAAAAGCAGCTTAGTTACCCTGAATCTTTTGCAAATACTGCAAATACTTTCTGATGATAGTCTTTGTGGACTGTTCTCACTTGGTGGAAAATTTTTTCCTGCATATCAGGAAACTTATTTGTTGGTTCAAGAGAACTGTCTCACATAAGCGCTTTTTCTTTGGCTCACCTTTACTTTGTGTGATTGGATCTTCGTGACTTGATAACTCCCCTTAGGATTCCATTGGGATCACTACTATAATAAGTGCTACTTTCATGACTTGTTTCCACAGTGGAATCTACAGGCCATTTAAAGGTATCCCCCAAATAAGATAGCAAAACTTTTTTTATGGAACAAACAAAAAAAATCAGATTCTTCATTGTTGTTCACCGCTTTAAGTACTGAACCCCCAAATTAGGGTTGGCAAGTAGAACTGTGTAGATCTGTTTGTTTTGTTCATTCATTATGTGGTGGGAAGTACTTCAGCCTGACTCATAATGCAGGACTTAAAAGGGGAGAAGAAACCTCAAGAGAGTCCCTTAGAGATTCTGTTATAATCCAGTTCTTGCAAACATCTGGCTTGTAGCTATGGGAAATAGAGCTAAAAGAAATAGGAGCTGCCTAAAAGCAGCTTGTGAGTATAGAAGAAGAAACAGTCAGATGCAGCTGATCAGAGGGAGAGTTCTTATTTTGCAGATCTCTTCTGGCACAATGAGAATGAACAAAGTGAATATGCATTGAAACAGTTGTTTAGCTAGTTTCCCTTTCTGTAATTTTTTTAAATGTTGAATTGTTGAATACTAAATGATGAAGGGTTACAAGAGTGACCACCAAGTGTACAAAGTTCTATTTCATCATCTGTGTTTTTTTTTTTTTTCTCTGCTGTCAGAACATGAGTGATGCAATGGCGATTCTACATAAGTTACAGACGGGTCTGGATGTCAATGTGAAGTTTACAGGTGTACGAGTATTTGAATATACACCTGAGTGCATAGTGTTTGATCTTCTTGATATCCCCTTGTACCATGGATGGTTGGTGGACCCTCAGGTAACTTATTTTTTTCAATAATTCAAACAGAATATAAGTTATTCTGAATTTTACGGGGGGGGGGGGGGGGGAGATGTTTCAGAATTATAATGATTATGGTAATGGATTTTTTTAAATGTAGTCAGAAAAATTGGATTTTCTTCAGACAGGAGCGAATACAGACTGTACATGTGTTTTAGTGTGGTAGCTTTGCAGAGACTAGGTCTGTAGTCGAACTAGCTTTCAAAACCTTCTGTGCTGAATTCACAACTGTGTAAATGAGAATTGTTGTTCTGAGGGAGGTAGGAAGTTGCCAGATATGGTGTCCCAGTCATTGTTTTTGAAAGCTTGTTAGAGAATGCTTGGAAGGAATGCAAGGTTACTTTCCTCCTTTCTTTAATTCTGATTTACTTTTAAAAGTTACTGCTTTTGAGAACTGGGGATATTAGAACCAGTTAGAGAGAACTGCATCTTTTAACAAACATATAATTTATTTTTAATTATATTGTTAAACAGTAAACTGGTACTGTTTACTTAGGGAGAAACTGGTGAGTTTGGCTGGAATAACCTGCCTCAGATTTTTTTTTTTTTCCCTGCCTTGTTCGTGAAAGTTGCTGTTCTCTTATCCCCTTGGACTTCCCCTATGCCCAGCTGAGCCAACTGATAGCCCATTCTCTCCTCCGTCCGCTTTTGCAACAGCTTTTGATGTTGTGTTAACTTAAGGATTTAAAATGGAATCTGAGACTGCAAAATGTGTAACAGTCTGGGCTAAAACTTTTTGGCCTAGTATTTTTAGGGGGATAACGTCCTCTCTTTGTTAAAACTCTTCTTCTTTTCTTATGAATAATTGCCATAGGCTTACAGTTGTGTTCTGTTCTTCACGAAGGTAAATTCTCTGTTTTATATGCTGTTCCTTCCTGCTCCAGGTTGCTGACATAGTAAAAGCAGTTGGTAACTGCAGTTACAATCAGCTAGTGGAGAAGATCATTTCTTGCAAGCAGTCGGACAACAGTGAACTGGTTAGTGAAGGTGGGTAACTTTTTTCTATGCTTTATCAAGGTATCTATCAAATCTTAGTTACATATTTTGTATGTAGGTCTCATTATCTAGAGATACAAGTGCGAAGAGCTGCATTCTGTTTGCTGAACTTCTTTTCCTGGGCAGGCAGACAGCACTGTGCTTGTCTTCTAAACTTCTCTGATGCAATTTCCAAACGAAGGATCAGCCTCGTTCTCTTGATCTATTAAATATACTTTTTAAAAAGCTGGAGAGAACTTCCTTTTATGAAAAGGTATTATGGGCAGCATTCAGATTTCAACTTGACTATATATTATCTCCTATAATTAGAACATTAATTATATACTACATGATGACAAGGAAAAACTCAGTAATATTAGAAGTGGATATAGCATTTCTGAACATGAGAGGGTTATCTACAATGCTGAGGTTTTAGAACTTTCAACTCATTTTCCCCTCTCTGAATGTGTTCCCTTAGATTTGTGGTAATAAGGGGGCATCTAAGTAGGGAGGAGATAGGAAAAATATTACCATTGTAACTAGGTTTTATATATTAGGAAGTATGTAATAGACACACGTAACAGCATATATTGCTTTTGTAGGATTTGTAGCTGAGCAATTTCTAAATAACACAGCTACACAGTTGACATACCATGGACTGTGTGAGTTGACTTCAGCTGTCCAGGAGGGAGAGCTTTGTGTGTTCTTCAGGAACAACCATTTTAGCACCATGACCAAATACAAGGTATATTGAACACTTTTGTCTTTACTGTTGTGGTTTGTGTTCTCATTTCAAAGCAAATTGTGTTTTTCCCCTGTCTTGAAATAGAAATAAATTCCAGTTTGTTTTATATGTAAGTAAGGCTTATGGTGAATGTAAGGTCTACAGCAAATGTTACTTGTGAATTATTGATTACAGTGTTTCACACATCAGGATCCATTATCACTTCAAATCTTCTTTTCTCTTTATGTTCAGTTTGCTCCCTGTGTTAACTCCTTTTGTTGTTATGTATAATGGCATACGTTTCTTACATGGCTTAAATTTACTTGCAGTTTGTGATTGGCAATGATAACGTTAATGCTTTACATTTTAGCCAGCAGATGAGTAGCTCCATCATGGTGTTCAAAATATCAAACATTTGGAGAAGTTGACATGAGCTAGAATATTGGTTCCCTTTGTTAGGGAAGAGATTATTTTTTTGAATCTGAAACTGGGGAAGCAAAATGGTGAGAATTGTGGAAGGAGTATTCCAGGATACGAAAAGCAAATGACAACTTAGTTAATAGTTTATTACGTATCTGACTTGAGTAGAAAGGGATTGTATGTATCTGACTTGAGTAGAAAGGGGCAGATTGTCTCCTAAGATTTAATAATTTCCTTGCAATGTCAAATCATACTTTGAGTTAGATATTTCTCTCAAATGTACTTAGGAGTTTTTACCTTTGTATAGAACTCTTGAAATTTATTTTGGTTATCTGTTATTTAATAAGACTTCAATTTCACGTACACTTGCATTTAAGAATAATGGTAATAAATGCAAAAAAAAAAAAAGGGGTGGGGGTGTAACATACAAAAATAATAAGGAACCACCATTTTTGCCATCTATTATATGGTAATGTCGTATACCTCATGTGAATGACATTAACTTTTCCATTTGGTAGTAATAGTCCTTTTTTCTCCCTCTGTCTGTTAATCTTGACTGTCAATGCTTATCTTTGGCATTTTGAATAGCTACTTGTAAGCTGAGCTAAAGCTCTGAATAGTCCTGATAAATAATGATTAACACTACAAACAGGTAACACGTTTAGTTTTCTAATAGCTTCCTAGAGCATATCTAAGATTTGTTTTAAATCTATGTACAATGATATTCTCTTAAAGCAGTAGGACAGGTAAAAGGATCTTTCTTCTCCCTTCCTCTGTTTAAAAAAAAAAAAAAAAGCTATGGAATAGATCTGTTTATAGTCAAAACTATAATTGTTATATTTCCTGGTGAAGCTTATTTGTGTCACAATTTTAAGAGGTATGGTTTTTCTTCTCTCTGTTTTTCTAAATTTAGGTCTTGCAATAGTTGGTGGTAGTTTGTCATGTAAGCCCGTACATTGTTTTATGGTTGCTTTCATTATGGGGAAAAAAAAACCCAACCTCAAAACAATTTGTTTTTAAAAGGAAAATACTAACTAGAAGTACAGATGTAGTTTCTGAGTACAAATGGATGCCTAAAGGCGCAGGAAACCTTTTTTACTTCATTTAAAGGTGGCATGGTTTAACCCCAGGCAGCAACTAAGCACCACACAGCTGCTTGCTCACTCCCCCCACCCCCATGGGATGGGGGAGAGAATTGGAAGGGTGAAAGTCAGAAAACTCATGGGTTGAGATAAGAACAGTTTAATAATTGAAGTAAAATGAAATAGAATAGTAGTAATAATAATATAATAATACAATAATAATATACGAAGCAAGTGATACACTATACAATTGGTCACCACCCGCCAACCGATGCCCAGCACGTCCCCAAGCAGCGATCACTGCCCCCCGCCCGACTCCACCCAGTTTATATACTGAGCATGACGTCATATGGTATGGAATAGCCCTTTGGCTGTCCTTGCTGTGCCCCTTCCTATTTTCTTGCAGGCCGAGCATGGGAAGCTGAAAAGTCCTTGACTAGTGTAAGCACTACTTAGCAACGACTAAAACATCAGCGTGTTATCAACATTATTCTCATACTAAATCCAAAACACAGCACTATACCAGCTACTAGGAAGAAAAATCAACGTTATCCCAGCTGAAACCAGGACAAAAGGATATTCCAGGTAAAATACTTAAATCCTCCTGGAAATCATTCATTTTTGTGCTATAATTAAAACTTATAAAATATTCCTTGTATTAAATACAGTCAATGAGAGTCACTTTGACCTTGTGAATTATCAATACAGAATTTTGTAGAATGTAGAATGTTGTCTTCTGCAGCCTAGTATTTAGAGTAAAGGCCAAAACCTGGTGTGTGTTTGTCAGTGCTTTATCAACTTCAAACTTGTAAATATATGCTTCTCAGTTGAGATCCTTTTTCCTTAAAGAAATAAAATACAACACTTCAATGTGTTAATTATCCTTAACCAATATTAATAATACAGAACAGGTTAAGGCAATGAGTACAAATCTGTGTCTGAATGTTAACTGTAAGAACTAAATCCAAGTCCTAAGAAATACTGAGTTAAAATATCTGAACAGTATTATTTTTTAGTTGTGTATTTAAGCTTTACTTGCTTGTAAGTCACTATGGTTTTAATCTTGTCCTTTTTGAGAAGTCTTAGACTCCTGAAATGCTAAGTTTTGCAATATGGACCATTATTCTTGTGTTTCACAGTCGTTATGGTGACCTCACTTGCAGCTCGTGTTCAGTTTCCACATTACCTACAGGCTTTTAGTTCCTGGGTTTGTCAGTTTTAAACAGTGTTGTTCATTTTGCCTTGGATTTCTGGTGCATTACAGAATTTGAGATATCAAGAAACTCTATTAATAAAGACAAAAATTCACTATTAATTTATTTTTAAAAGTCAGCAGTAACCCTTCTGTCTGTTTCTAACCTACCTAGCTATTTGAAATAGCTATATGACTAGGTATTCTTTCAAGGAAGTCATAAATAGATTTGACTTGGGCTTTTAGCCAAGATAGCTACCCAAAAATGTTTGGACCTCCAGGATACTCATATGAGTGCCAAATGCATTGTTGTCACAGAGTTGAGATTTGTCAACTGCTTTACTCTTTCCTTTTACTAGGTTTAATGCTAGCTCTTCAGATTTTTAATGGAGTTTCTTTTACTTCATGGTTTGAGCAATAGTCAGCAGAAGCTGGATTACGGAGAAAAGTCCAACAATGAGGAGAACTGAAGATGCAGCATAGCCAGAAAAAATGAAGGTGTAGAACTTTTAGGGCAAGAACTATGCAATTTGTTTGTCTTTCTCTAATATTGTCCTTCCCTCTTCCTGCTCCAAACCAATATATGGAAACATACAAAAAAAACAGTTAAGTTAAACAAAACAGAATTACGCATATAACGAAAGTTATGTACATATAATAAAACTTGTGTATTTTTGGAAATATTTACACTTTGAATAATTAGCAAGAGTTTATAACAAAAATCCCTTAGGTACATCAGGCTGTTTTAGTATTATTCTAATGAAGCCAATACCTAAACTTTTATTTGGAAGCTTTCATGTACAGCTGATACAGTGACTTGTACGCTGGGTACATTAAGTTCAGTGGGTTTTTTTGAGGCCGATATTTTAGTGAAAGGACTTGGACTTCAGTATTTTTATATTTCAAAGAAAGTAGAATGTTGGCTGAACTACACTTACTGGAGGAAAGAAAAAGATCAGATTGCTAAGCTTTTTCAAAGGAAATGCAGAAACTTGTTCCAAGTTCTCTTATGTGCCTATCTTTTCTAGAATTGGCTTTAGAATTGCGGAGCAGGTGTGGGTAATTTAAGAAAAGTAAATACTTGGTGATATTGAAGTAATTCAAGGAGCAAAATTCATAAATCGGAGACATTTTAAAGTTTGACATATCAGGTCTTTCTACTAAAACAGACAAACCCATATAGCCTTAATTCTGCTCTATATTGGTGCCACATAACAATCATATGATTGTGATTGAGCATTTTTAATATTTGTGGTGCTTGGTTGAAGAGATTTATTTTTTTTAAGTTGTATTAGAGTTCTTTCCACGTCCCATCTGGTGAGCTTGTTTCAGAGATAAATATTTTCTGTTTTAAAATATATTATATATGCATTTACCTGTCATCCTTAATAAAGGATGATCTTGTGGATATTTTAGAGCAGAAATGGGAGAGGTGGAGACTGGTAACATCCTTTGTGCGTATAATTTGAACTTCTGGTTTTCAAGTCTTTTTTAAAATTTTTTAATTTTTATTACAAAGAGTTTGCAGTATTTATTATTTGGCACACAGTATCAATTTAAAAATAGAAGATTTACTAGCACTGCCAACACTTTACCCAATTACACTGAGTTTAGAGTGTCTTTCCACTGTCAGATCAAAGGATCTTTACCTTAGTTTTGGATTGCTTATTTTAGAGGGCTGTTATTACTGAGAGTTACGTGAAAGTGTGAACAAACAGTGCAATATTCTGAATTCCTGTATCTTTGCTTTGAAAATTTTTTCATAGGCTGCTGTTACAAGATGTTGCATAGTGGCAAGGACTCCTTGGAAACATTAGGCATACTAGTGCCCAGCTAGTATGATTGTTAGGCTGGGTAATCTACTCATGCTTCCTTTGTGTCTAGTATCTCTATTGACTCCAAGATATCTTTTTTTGTGGATAGTAAAGAAATTTGTAAGGAAGGGAACTGGAGTGACTCTTCGCAAACTTGGCTTTCTTTTTAATAAGATTTTTTTTTAATTGTTACTAAATTAGCAATAATAGGTGGGATTTTTTTACTCTTAAGTGCTTCTTGCAAGATCAGAAATAGAATGGTTATGAACATACAACAACATTATGAATACTTGGTGTAGATTAGGGAGGTATCAGTACTATTATATACTGTAGGGCACAGCTTATTAACAGTCTCTGCTAGCAGATATTTAAGAGGCGTTTCTGCACTAGTTATGGGGATGAAGGTAATACTTGGGGCTTTGAGCTGGACAATAATAGGTGAGAAGTTGTATTACACCACTTTTAAAAATATTTATTGTTTAAAAAAGAGCATTTGACTTATAAATGGGAGAA